AGGAAAAAGGGAGGTTATTTATTAGCATGTAACATCCTATTTATCTACAGAAACAAGAGAAGTGGATAGCTGTTACTTCATCCTTGCCACTCCACCTTACACCCCATCATTCAGAGAACTTTTTACCATTCCTCAAATACACTCTGTTGGCACTGTGCTCCTAAATGCTGTTCCCACTGCCCTCCAACCTTTCTCTCTTGTCCTAGTAGACATATTGAATGCATACAGTCACATTTCCTTATTAAAATTTCAAATGGCATATTATGTATGCTGTTCTGCACTTTGCTTTTTTCCACTTTATGCTTGCAAATAAATACCTGTCTGATTCTATTTTATAGCTGAATACTATTCCATTGAATGGATAAACCATAATTAATCACTGACTCATCAAAAGATAGTTCCATTGTTTCCCATCTTTTACTAAAAATGCTGTAATGAATATCCTTGGTCACATGTTATTTCATGTTTTATCTATGGGATTATATCTCTGGAATAAATTCTTAGAAACAATGGTGGTTGTGGGGAGGGTGACAGGGTGGACAGGTACCATAATGGAACACTTTCCACTAAACCCCTTTTGTGTCTTTTTGAATTTGTACATGTACTACTTATCAAAAATAAATATTTTTAAATAAAGCTGCTGACCACAGACTGCTTAAATGTCCTCTCCCTTTATATTATTTATCTGACTGTAGTTTACAATTAAAGTCAGGTGATGATTATTTCAAAATTCCTTAAAGCAAACTTCCCTTAAGCAACCCTGTTGAAAAGAAAACATGGATTTTAAGAAAACAATTATAAACATCAATCTCAAACATCAAGAAAAGTAAAAAGAAGCTTCCTGCCTTTTAGACAAACATGCAAAACCATAATGTTCAAATGGACGGTGGTAGGCCCTGCCAAAGGCCAGGTTCTAGAGAGGGCTATACTATTTGGTACACCTGGTTGCTCCTGCCAAATGTTGGTCCTCCACGCTGATGCTTCCTAACAATAGAACAGGATGCAATTCTCAGAAGAAAGTATTTCAGGACACTTACTTTAACAGTTCTTCCCAATCTCTTACTTCTGAACAGTTTTCCTCTTCATCCCTTGAATTCAGTCAACATTCCCACAAAAAGAAAGTAGGTGGACACATATAGTATATAGTTTACATATAGTCACTATCACTACATAACTGAAGAACGTGATTCCATAATAAAATCAATGAAGAGACCCTAAGTTTTGAACCAAAACATAAAGCAGACTGAAGAGTTCCCTGTTTTTTTTTTTTTGGTACTGGAAATTTAACCCAGGGGTGCTCTACCACTGGGTTATACCCCCAGTCTTTTTTGAGACAGGATTTCACTAAGTTGCTGAGGCTGACCTTAAAAACTTGCAATCCTCCCATCTCAGCCTCCCATGTCACTGGGATTACATACATGAAACACCATGCCTGGTAATCTCCCTTTGTCTTCTTTGGTTCTTGCATTAGTATGGTGTTTGCTAAAGAAAAGACAAGGTGAGTATTGCCTAGCATGCATGAAGCCCTGGGTTTAATTCCCAGCACTCAAAAACAAGAGGGTGTGGGAGGGGCAGGAGATGGCCCATGATGCCCAGCACTTGGATACAAAGTTAAATAAACTCAATTTCATAACAAATAAGTTCTTGACAACCTCCTCTTGGAAGAACAGGTAAAACCAAAGATCTTTCCATTGACAAAGGGAAAATATAAAGGATTCCTAAATGAATTTATACAGTGAGTAAAATTTGTGAAAATATCTTGTTAGCCCTTATGGCTTGCCAGGAAGAGGGCAACTGGTCAAAAAGGGCCTGTAGAGGAGCCTAAATTTGTTTAGCATGCTATGTAGTTCAAGCAAATGGCTCAGTGTCCCCTTGCTGATGTCATTCCCCCTTGCCCTGTGTTCTTAAGTCACCCCACTCCAACAAAGACTTCTTGTGGTCACTTCCAGCTTCCCCATGAAGCACTGTCAGTGTGAAGTAAAGTGATTTCTCCCGAAGCCACCATTTTTTAACCACCAAATTCCACTTCTTTCATTAATAGTAGACACTCACATATAGGCTTCTGCAGTCTAAAAGACCTAGTTTCTGCCCAGTTGACCACTGCAATTTAATGGAGTATATACTTAGCAACTAAAGCTGTTATGCTTGTGCTCAAGAGTTTTTAAACCACTAAAGCAGTAAATAACTCATAGCCAGCTCAATGGTGAACACCTGTAATCCCAGTAACTCAGGAGGCTGAGGCAGGAGGATCACAAGTTCAAGACCAACCTCAGCAACTCAGTAAGACCCTCAGTCACATAGCAAGACCCTGTCTCAAACAAAAAAATAAAAAGGGATGGGAATGTGGCTCTGGTTAAGAGCCCCTGGGTTCGATCCCTGGTACCTCCCAAAAAAATGTTCTGAAAGAAAGGTTCATTTTTTCACTTTAAATGTAGCAAAATCTCTTTTTAAGGATGATGAAAGTACTTAAGTAATCTGAATTGAAAATGTTATTAGGCCCAAATATTGGCAGCAATTTAACTCTTCATTCTCAGCGTCTTTGTAACTTGTGTACACAGACATTTCATGGTATGTTCCTTCCTGCCACCTTCCATAGACTGCTAAGATCTGCTAAGTTTCCAAGAGTCCCCTTCTTTCCTCTAACCACGTGACAGTTTTCCCCCCTCTATGTCCTAGATTGTCCCACACATAAGTATCTAAGGTTCAGTCACAGATACTTTGTTTCTAAACTCTATTTTCATTTTTTTTTTAATATTTATTTTTTTTTAGTTTTCGGCAGACACAACATCTTTGTTTGTATGTGGTGCTGAGGATCCAACCTGAGCCACACACATGCCAGGCGAGCGCGCTACCGCTTGAGCCACATCCCCAGCCGCTCATTTTTTTAATAATAATATTTTTTTTTTAGAGAGAGAGAGAGAATTTTAATATTTATTTTTTAGTTTTCGGCGGACACAACATCTTTGTTTGTATGTGGTGCTGAGGATCGAACCCGGGCCGCACGCATGCCAGGCGAGTGCGCTACAGCTTGAGCCAAAACCCCAGCCCCTCATTTTTTTAAATATTTATTTTTTAGTTGTAGTTGAACACAATACCTTTATTTTATTTATTTATTTTTATGTGGTGCTGAGGATTAAACCCAGGGCCTCACATTAAACCCAGGGCAAGCACTCTACTGCTGAGCCACCACCCTAGCCCTTATTTTCACTATTTTTAATAATGAATTTTCATATCAAATGACCTTAATTCCTATCTAGTCCAGAGATTCAAGTTTCTGCTATAACAAACTTTAAGTGAAAGATGGATTTAATCAACAACTCTCAGAATCAACCTGATTGTGGTTTCCCCCACATTAGTATTAAAAAGTTATCTGTTAGCTGGATGCAGTGATTCACATCTGTAATCCTAGCAATTCAGGAGGCTGATGCAAGACGATCACAAGTTTGAGGCCACAGTGAAAATTTAGCAAGACTCTTAGCAACTTAACAAGACTTTCTCAAAATAAAAAATTAAAAGGACTGGGGATGTAGCTCAGTGGTAAAGTGCCTCCAGGTGCCAAAAAATTATTTGTTATGATGGTGGTGCAAATTCTTTTTCAGTTTTCTGTCTTTACTATTCTGGGTCCCCTAGCATCATAATAGAATTATTTGAACCTCCATAACCCATTTAAAGGCAAACCTAAACAAATACTTTAAAATGCACTGGAATTTGTGGTTTAAAATCTTTTCATTTAGACACCCTAAAGTAGGATTGCCATGTTTAGCACATAAATGTTATGTATTGTAGACAAAGAGTAGACATACTTATATTACAAAGATTAAATGATATTAAAAAATTTGTTGTTCATCTGAAATTCAAATTTAACTAGGCAGTTTGCATTTCATTGGTAACCCACTCTTAAAAAAGACCTCTATTAAAGAAGTACTCTAGATTAGACAAAGAGAAATGAAGGGAAGGGAGGGGGAATGGGAATAGGAAAGATAATAGAATGAATCAGACATTACTGTCCTATGTGCACATATGATTACACAACCAATGTAATTCTACATCATGTACAACCAGAAGAATGAGAAGTTAAATTCATATGTGTATAATGTCAAAAATATACTCTACTATCATGTATAACTAACAAGAACAAATTTTAAAATATTTAAAAAATAAAAAGACTTCTATTACTGGGCATGGTGGTGCATGCTTGTAATCCCAGCACCTTGGGAGGCTGAGGCAGGAAAATTGTAAGTTCAAAACCAGCCTCAGCAGAGACCCTGTATCTAAAATATTAAAAAAAAAAAAAAAAACTGGGCATGTGGCTCAATGGTTAAGTGCCCCTGGGTTCAATCCCCAGTACTGGGAAAAAACAAGAAGACCTCTATTAGCTACATAATGGAGTTACACTTTCAACTATGCATAAGAAAGACATTTTATACCATAAGGAAGATGAAGCAACATATCCTAATAGGATTCGATTACTAAATGGTCACAGATCTTGAAATGTCTGTATGAATACAGAGTATCGAGGCTATTTTTCAAGTTATTCAGGTACCAGAGTTTGTCCCAAGTTTTATGGGGGATGGCTCTTGTTTTTTTTAAATCCTAGCAGATCTGTGAATATGACAATATCACATGGGAAGTAGTTAATGGGCTGCATAGAAAATAAGAAAATGTCAGTAGCACACTCATAAAGGGAGAAATGTGAAGCTAATTTGTGGCACATACCTGTAATCTCTGCTTCTTGGGAGGCTAAGGCAGGAGAATTGTAAGTTCAAGTTGAACCTGCATAACTCAGTGAGAAAAAAAAATGTATATAAAAACCAAAAAGGGCTGGAGGTGTAGCTCAGCAGTAGAGCACTCCTGTTTCAAGCCCCAGAAGGTGGGTGGGGTGGGGGTGTGAAAGGGTGAAATGAAAAAGATAACAATTCATATGCCTTTCTCATCAGTTCTGACCTAGTAATCAGTGTTCAAGTTACCCAATCTATAAAATTGATCCAAAACACTCTAAGGACTTTCTTTAAACTTAGGCTTTTATACATTGTTATACATATATGTTCAAACATTCTGGAGGCTAGAAAAGTAACTCCAAATTTGGAGGATTGGAGGCTCTATAGAGTACACTAGTAATTAAATATGAGGTAACAACATCTATAAGCTTGGCCTTAGCATTGTATAGGAGCTGGGGAGTAATTTAGGCCAAGTGTAAAAGCTTCACATTCTGAAAATAATAGTGGAAAAACACAACACTTCTGAATTAAGAAAAATAAAATTGAGAGAGGGACATGATTAGAAGGAAACTTCTAGAATTCTACTAATCGCAGTTCCTCAGATTGGTACAACTGATGGCAATCTCTGGATCACTAGTCATCAAGTCAAAGTTTGACAGAGAAGGATGACCCACAGGAGCAGCCTTGCTCTGCTTGAGGATTGTTCAATACTTGAAATGAGCTTCGGATCAGTTCTTGGCTGAAGTCCACCTGGGCCCCCTTTACGAAGGCCAAGCTATCAGAATCAACCACAACTCTTGCACCACCCTGTTCGAATACCCTGAAAAGACAGGAGGAAGCATTAGTGAATACCACAAACACCAAAAACAGGATACCCTCTAGGGCCAGAAGTGCATATTCTAAAGCGGGTGATTCCTTATTACCTCTTAATAGGTGCTGATTGTCTTTGAAGCAAAAAGAATAAATACTGGGAAATATATATGGGCTTGGGCCTGGAATCTAGTCCAGCCTGACTCTCTATCCATTACCCCATGGACTAAGCAGGCCAATTTTCCTTCTACAATTTAGTTATTTTGAATCAAGCCGACCAATCTTACTGCATCCTCACAGTGTCAGAAGGGCGGTCGTTAATCGTCCTTAACAAGCCCTTTAAATCTGGAATAAAATTGCACCTTAAACTGGTCACTTTTTCCCCTCCCACATATTCTGAGGACCCGCCCCCTCCTCCTTGCCTGTCGTCGGGGTTGACAACTGTATCCAGTGAAAATTTATACTGGAATCCCGAGCATCCACCTCCCTCCACCTCCAGCCTGAGGAATTCTGACCCTTCGGTGATTTCCAGAAGCCTCTGAAATGCAATAAGAGGAATCAAAAATGTCAAGCCAGCAGTGGTAAAAGGGTAGTAAAGGAGAGTCCCAGAGCTTGGCTGGGCACCGCCGCCCCGCGTCTGGCTGGCCTTCTTACCCGGACGCAGCTGTCTGTAAGGTGGATCTGCCCTTCGCTAGCCTCGGGGCTGGAAGATGACGCCTCCCAACGCGTCTGAAGTCCCGGACAGGATGCGGAGAGCCTGTGGTGCAAGGGAGGAGGATGAGCCCGGGAGCAGAAAGGGTCCCAGGCGACCCCCACCTGAACCGTCTCATGCCAAACCCTCACCTCCCCCGGGGGCTTTAGTTTCTTATTTGCTCTGGAGGCGCAAAACCTGACACCCTTCCAGTCTTGGTACCTGCCCCTCCGCCAGGGAATGACCGCTCTTAGGGCCGTGGCCGTTAGGGACAGGCCCCTGGCGGCCGCCATCTTCCCCCAACAAACTCCGCCCCTCGGTGCGCCCTTCTCCCCTTCTCCGCCTAGAGCTCAGGAGGCGGGAAGGCGGTCAGTGGGCGTGGCCGCAATGAGACCCGCCCCCATCGTGCCTATTAGGTCGTGTAGAAGAAGTTTGATTGGCTAGAAATGCTCCCGATTGCGGAAGAGGGGCCGCACCAGTAGAACCGGGGCGGAGTCCTGAGGAGACAGGCAGGGGGCAGCGGGGCTGATTGCCGCTCGGCCCCGCCTCTGAGAGGACAAGATGGGCGGGGACAGCGGGCTGCCTTCTGGCCCGGCTCCTTGGAGCGGAGCGGGGCGGGGCGCAGGCGGACCGCAGGCGGACCTCAGCAGTGGTTGCTGGTGACAGGTCGCCTGACTGGGCTCCTCCCCGCGCCCGCCCCGACTAGTTTATCTTGTGACCGCGGCAGCCACTTCGTATTTCGAGCTTGGCGCCTCGTTATCCACGATGGGTTTCCTGGCTATAGCGATCCTGCTCCTAGCGTTCTTCGCTACCATCCAGGCCGAGCCGGTGCATTACAAGGACTGCGGTGAGACCCTCGCCCGCCCGAGATTCCTGCGCCCTCTGCGCAGCGGCGCCCAACGCTGAGACCCCGGGGCCGGGTTGGGCGGGTTCCTGGGATGACGAGGCTCAGCCTGGACTCCGGGTGCAGTGGACTGGATTGGGGGAGGAAGTACCGGCCTTGACGAAACTTATCGCATACAATTTTGTATCTTTCCTGTGCAACAACTCGTGTTTGGGGAGGGGGGGGTCCTTGTACGCTTTTTAGGTGGTGCTCTTGCTGAAGTTCCCTAAAGTTTGCAGGGAAGATATCTGAAGGTCTGTATACAACACAGGGGTTGAAGGAAGGGGCGCTCTCTCTTTTTCTCTCCCTCTCTTTCTTCCTTTTTTCTTTTTCTCTCTCCCCCTTCTTTCTTTCCTCCCTCCCTTCCTCTTTCGTTTATTTAGGGGGTACTGGGGATTGAACCCAGAGGCACTTTACCACTGAGCTACATCCCCAGCCCTTTCTATTTTGTATTTTAAAACTAAGTCTAGCTGGGTGTGGTGGTGCATGCCTGTAAACCCAGGGGCTTGGGAGGCTGAGGCAGGAGGGTCATGAGTTCAAAGACAGCCTCAGCAATGGTGAGCGCTAAGCAACTCAGTGAGACCCTGTCTCTAAATAAAATACAAAAAGGGCTGGGGATGTGACTCAGTGCTTAAGTGCCCCTGGGTTCAATCACCCCCCCCACGCACAAAAAAAAAAAAAAAAAAAAAAAAAAAGAAAGAAAGTAAGTAAGTCTCACTAAATTGCTTAGGTCCTCGCTAAATTGCTGAGGCTGGCCTCAAACTTGCCATCTTCCTTTCTTTGCCTCCCAAGTCACTGGGATTATAGGCATGCACTACCGGCAGAAAGATCGAAAGTTTCCCTTGGGCTATAGAATTTTGTGATTTTTAATCAGTTTTTCCTCCTATAAAAATCATGTTTCTAATCATATCTTATGACACATTATTCCCTGTTGATGCTGTGGTTGGAATCTTTGTTGGAAAATACAACAGGTATAGAAATTCTGAGTTCATCAATGCATTCTACTGTCATGAATAACTAGAAAGAACAAATTTTTTAAAGAAAAGAAATTCTGAGTTCATTTAGTCAAGTCTATAAAATTAATTGTTGGAGCAGAACTCCAGCAGTTGTATTGAAAGGTAGAGATGGAAAGGTATAATGATCAATGAAAGAGGTCTGAAACTGATTTTGCAAAATATGTGAGCAGGAAGGAAACATGGAGATCACATAGTCAATCGTGAATTCCAGAGATGTTAGGTAACCTACCTAAAGTTATACAGCAGAATGGGAAAACAGGGTAAGTTTGCTCCTTTATATCCAGTGCTGGGGTAATAGTAACTGCTTACTAAATATTTGCTGAAAAAGCAAATGAGGTAATATATATATTTCCCACTGGGTCATCAAAACTCACGTTGAGGGAAAAGCAAAGTTGGGGACTTGGGAAATAAGAATTAATAAAGGCCTATTAACACTTAGCAAATGTTAAGCAAAATGTTCCACTGAATTAGAGGACTGGCATTTAAAAGATGCTACTATTGCTTCAAACTACTGCCTTTCCCTGCATTAAACTGAGTGTCCCACATTTGGATGAAGACACTATGTTAATTGTTTGGAGGTACTGGAGATGAACCCAGTGATTCTCTACCATGTGCTACATCCCCAGCTTTTTTTTTTTTTTTGAGACAGGGTCTCGCTCAATTTTTCAGGTTGGCCTCTAACTTTCAGTCCTCCTGTCACAACCTAACAAGTCTCCAGGATTATAGACTTGTGCCACTACACCGCTGGACTCTATTAATTTTAATTTTAATAATGCATTCGGTCCTCACAGTCTGTTTTACAGAAGAGGAAACTAAGAAACATAGAATACCTTGCTTAAGATTTTACAACTAGGGGCTGGGGATGTGGCTCAAGTGGTAGCACACTCGCCTGGCATGCGTGCGGCCCGGGTTCGATCCTCAGCACCACATACAAACAAAGAAGTTGTGTCCACTGAAAAACTAAAAAATAAATATTAAAAAAAAAATTCTCTCTCTCTCTCTCAAAAAAAAAAAAAAAAAGATCTCACAACTAGTAAGCAGTAGGAAAGAGGTGGGTCTTTGTGACCCACTTTAGATTTAAATAGTAACATTAAAAAAGAAGTGAAATAAATCTGGAAATTATTCTATTCACTTGGGGAAAAAAAACAAACAGGTAAACACCTATAGGAAGAACTTCTTAAAGAGAAGTAGGATTCCCATCACAGCTTTTCAATATACTTTTTTTTCATAATTAATAAGCCAGCTAGCATGATTTTTATTAGTTATGACTAATTTGAACACAGACTGTAATGTGATCAGTGAATTACAATTTAGAAATATTCATATTATTGAATCTCTTTAGAAAAATTATACCAAAATATTTCAGAAATGTATATTGATTGCTATATCAGGTTTTTTTCCCTTTTATTTTATTTTTTTAATTTTTAATTTGTTTTAATTAGTTATACATGACAGTATAATGCACTTATATACATTGATATATCATACATAGATGGGATATCATTTCTCATTTTTCTGAGTATACATATTATAGAATCACATTGGTCATACAGTAAGAATGTCTGTTTCATTCTACTATCTTTCTTAACCCCATATCCCCTGCCTTCTCCTCCTTTCTCAATTTACTTTTGAATTGACAAATATAATGTAAAAACTTCAGCAACCACATCAAAAGATTTTGCATTCCACTTTCCACCCACTTTCCCCTGGGGTGGGATTTCCTCAAGTGAGAAATAGAACTAAGCAAACTTTGGTTTTGTAATGTTTGCAAGTTAGAGCTCAGTTTGTTCTATTGACCCTGGAAGTTCAAGAAGCTCTTGTTCTTGTAAGGGGAAAAAAAAATGGATGAAAGAGTTACAAGTACAACTTTTTACTTTGATCCTACTAGATCATGTGACCTCACCTTTAAAGAATCAGGTAGACTATAGACATCGAAAGCCTTAATGTAGGTGCTGAGATCAACAGATTGTTAAAGTTCAGGGATTTTTGTTTATTTTCTGTCTACAGAAGGTGGGATGAAGTGAAAGAGGGTACATCTCACATTATTTAGGGTGCTGAATATGTTCAGTTTAAGAAGTTTACTATAAGTGGGGTATGGTGGTGCTCATCTGTAATCCCAGTGAATGGGAAGGCAAAGGCAGAAGGATCACAAATTTGAGGCCAACTTCAGCAACTTAGCAAGGTCCTAACCAACTTAGCCAGAGACTCTGTCTCAAAATTAAAAAAAAAAAGAAAAAAACTTTAAAAGGGCTGGGTATGTGGCTCAATGGTAAATTGCCTCTGGGTTCAATCCCTAGTACCACCCCCCCCCCAAAAAAAATAACTTTGCTATAAAGGAGAAGCAAGCTGAGGAATAAGTGTTATTTCCATCCTTGCTGTTGCAGTTGGTCAATATAACTTCATTTTTTATTTGATTGGAAGAGTCTGCTTTAAAAAGACTCTTCCACCAAGGGCAAGCACAGAGAAAGCAAAGTGCATCCACTTGGGCTTCTCAATTCATGTCCCACTTTTATAGTATTAAGCTAATTTGGTGACTGCGCCAAGTGTACTCTCAACCTGCAATTTGCCTGCTGTTTTCATGCATTCTGCTTTTAAGACAGTAAGACTCCATTCTGTTGACTACAAACATAATTTCTGTCCATGAAGTGTATTTGAGGTTGGAGGCTCAGCTTTGGTGTCAAACGAAGCCATCCAGGAATAGCTATTTAGATTAAATTAAGGGATCAAATCCAAATATGATAAGCATAATAAAGACTTAAATGGCACTACAGTGTTCCAGATACTCATCTAAAAGCTGCATGCATATGTGTTAACTCACCTACCCTCTAAGGCAGGTATGATTATTATCTTCAGATGTTAACTGTATTGCCCTGAAGTTACATGGTAAGTGATGGAGCTGGTGAGATTTCATACCCGAGCAGCAGGCTCCAGAATCTGCCTCTCAGCAATGATGGCTAAATGGCAACACTTGACCTAAACTGTTACTGTTAACCAGACTCCTTACTCAACATTCTCTTCCATTCAACTATCCAGTTTTAGGGGCCTAGATAGGGAAATGGGATTGTTTTTCAAAATTTGTACTTACCCGGTGCAGGTGGTTGCACACACTTGTAATCCCAGTGGCTCTTGGGAGGCTGAGGCAGGAGAACTGCAAGTCCAAAGCCAGTCTCAGCAAATTAACAAGGCCCTAAATAACTTGGGGAGAACCCATCTCTAAATAAAACATAAAAAAGGGCTGAGGATGTGGTTCAGCATTTAAGCACCCCTTGGTTTAATCCCCAGTAACCCCCCCCCAAAAAAAAGACAAACGTGTGTGTGTGTGTGTGTGTGTGTGTGTGTGTGTGTGTAGCATTTATTATGTACAAAGAGCACATTTGTCGTTGATTAGAATGAGATTAAAAGAAAGAAAAAAAAAAAGACACACTCCCTGCCTCAGGGACACTTTAGGGACCACTGATTTAGAAAGATACCAGAGCATAACTAAAAGATGATGGGAGGGATAGGGACAAATTGGGAGCAGCTGGTATCGGGATTGCAAATGGAAATAATAGTACTACAACTTAAGTCATCCTGGTGGCCCTTGTGTGCTGCTTTACAGACCTGTTTTAAGATGGAAGGAGTTTCCTGATACCACCACCCCAGGATCTAAAGTGGGAGCTGGAGGGCTTGCTTACTCTATATACTACATAATTTGCTTCTATCAAATAGGAACAGTTTGTAACTCCTTTTAGGGAGAGTTAGTTCAGAGACTTATAGAGAATATTAGCTATTCCTTAGTATCTTATTCTCTTCTTTTAGCTAACTCCTTTTAAACCTAATTTGTGAATCATTAATTTTTGAAACTGCATAATCAATTTTTGAAACTGGCAGGTCAGATTAATTCTATTGATGACTCTTCCTCGCATCTTCCTGCACTGCCTTATTTTTAAAACACATATAGTGTTTGTAAGCATATCATTTAGTTATATAGACATAGGCCAAGTAAGTACTTTAAAGGAAAGGAAACCTAGACTCCATGTTCTTGTTTAACACAACTGATATTTCTGCCATCTTGACTGTGTGAAACAGCCCTATCTGGAGTGAAGTTAAATTTGGGTCCTAAGTTTTATTGGAGCTATAAAAACCTTGATACAGATCCTCTGTATCTCTTTGATTCTTGAAAAAAAAAAAATCAAGGTCCTAATGACTTAGTCAAGATTTGAGGCACTGCCTATTATTTTTTGAGCCAAAATATCTCATGACTTATAGAGCAGGACTCAGGTTTCTTCCCCATGGAAGACAACAGAATCCAGTACTATGGAAAGAGTGCAGTTCGCAGTTCAGAAATGGAAATAACTTCTCTCAAGAGTCATTTCCTCTCAAGATGGAAGGTAATTCTTTCTAGGGTCATTCCTCTTTGCAGGGTTAAGATGGTCATTCTTCTTAAATTTCTTAGTCCACTTGCAAGTGGGTGGGCTTCAGGATCAAATTTAAAAAGCCAAGACTGGACATTCTGACACATTTCATTGTTTTACCCATACCTTTAGTAGTAATCCTTTGTTTCTTTAGGAAGCCAGGCTGAGGTGAAAAAAAATGAAGAGATTTCAAGAAGATAGGATACTAGGTTTACCAAATGGTTCACCAGGAGTTTAAGGAAAGGCTATAAAATCTGGACAGAAGTTTCTTCATCACTGAAAATCACAAAGTTTATGGGGTTGAACCTCTAAGACAAAAAGAGAATAATCATGAGGTGAAGGAAACCTAACAAGGTTTTTTTGGTTGAGTTTGAGCCAGGATCTTCATCCAGGTTCCTCAGAGAGTTCTCAGTCTGAATTCCTTAGTGTGTCCTTTCATTTGTCACCGTGGCTGTGTATGTAAACCTTCCTCCAGGTTCCATGACAGGGCTTCCAAGTCTTAGACCTGTTCATTCTAGGCAGTGTGACCTTGGAGAAGTCACAGTAATCCTTCTGCTCTTCTGTTTTCTAACCTCTAAAACAAGGATGGTAAAGTCATTGTGCTGTTATTTTTATTTTTTTCCTTATCCTCAGGGGCCTCAGCTTTCTCTCGTTCTTGCCACCCATGATATAATCTTTATTCTAAACATAGAATGACTCAGGAGCTAAGAACCCCTGGAGCCTGAAACTCTAAAGAGGTTCTATCTTTTCTGAGTTCTGGCAGACTTCCCAACAAATAATAAGCACCTTAAAACAGAATTTGCTCTTGAAGAATTTGGGATAGAAAGATGATATAACTCTTTTTTGTTTGTTTTGCAGTACCGGGGGTTGAAGACAGGGGCACTCTACCTCTGAACTTCATCCCTAGCCCTTTTTTTAAATTTTGAGACAGGGCCTCACTAAGTTGCTGAGACTGGCCTCAAGCTTATGATCATCCTCAGCCTCCCAAGTAACTGGGATTACAGGCACATGCTACCACACTGGCTGATGTGACTCATTTCTGAGCTTCCTCCTTGGAGGAAAAACAACCTTTTAGCTATTTTTACATAAGGTACAGTTTTTGAACAACTTTCATCAAATTTACATACTTACATCTTTGCTAGAAAGGGGAAATAGGAATATTTTTATTAAAGGAAGATTGGGGCAACTTTTTTGTTTTTTGGTACTGGGGATTGAACCCAGAGGTATTCTACTACTGAGCTACATCTCCAGCCCTTTTTTAATTTATATTTGAGATGGGAACTTGTTAAGTTGTCCAGATTGGCCTTAAATTTTAATCTTCCTGTGAGGCAAACATTTTCAAGGCTTAAGTTTAAATTGTAACCCGCCCCCTTACCATTTGGAATGCAAAATAAGAATCTGGAAGCATTTGGAGTTTCTTTGATTGTAGTTTAATCTCTTTAATATAATCTTTTGTGTGCATGGTTTCTAACAAATATTATCTTTCTCTTTGTCAAGAGACCAACTAACTTCCTTTTTGTCCAATTTATAGGATATGGTTTTAGCAGCAAGACAAACCAAATTCTCATTTTTAATTGAAAGAATCCATACCAGGAAAGCATCAAAAAAGAACAGGCACTCACTAAACGGGAGACAGCGACCTTTCCGTTAGGTAGTGGTCAATATTTCCACCTATTTCAATAAGTTTTTTCTTTTTTCCCAGGTTCTAGAGTTGGAGTTATAAAAGAGGTAAATGTGAACCCATGCCCCAACCAGCCCTGTGAACTGAAGAAAGGACAGTCCTACAGTGTCAATGTCACCTTCACTAGCAGTGAGTAAACATGGTTTGACCTTAAATTTATGCTAAAGCATAGCATAAACATCAGGTATTAGAATCAACATGGGAACATAGGGGTGGAGGGTTGGTAGTCAGGAATTCTGTGACCTTCCTTCCAGTTTGTGCAAAGCTGGATTCACTATTCCCTTAGATACCCTTCTTGTACCAACTTCCCATATGCCCCTTTCTAAGAGCCCCTCCCAGACTCCCTCTAAGCCTGGAGGGTGATTTTCCTGTGTTCACGGGTTAGAAAAGACAGCATGACTTTTCTCTCTCCTACCTTGGCCCATATTGCACAGCAGGATTTTATAGCTACAGACTGTAACTTTAGTACAGATTCCAATACTGTAAACTTTGTAACTTCCCCAGAATGTTATTTCAAGCACCCTACCTTTCAGCCATTAAGCCTGCATCCATCTGAAAATGAAGGTACAATTAATACTTAGTAGCCTCTGTAAGGTTTAGAGAATCCACTGGGACACACAAACCACTTCTGAGCCATCTTCTTCAATGTGAAGAAGCAGTATTGGGTTGTTGTCATGTACCACGTTCATCACATTCAGATTGCCAGAAAGAAGAAATGTAAAATGTTTATTTCTGGATAGAGTATCTACCTTGAATCTGTCTCTCATTTCTGTGCCATGGAACTTGACTAGACAGTCAATAAGAAAACTCAAAGTGCCTGTCATGTCTTTTCCATGAGCCTACAGACTGCTCTAACTGTGAGCTCCCTGTTCTCTCTCTTGCACTGTACCATGGCCCCTCAATTATTAATAAATAAAAAAGTCAGGCGCAGTGGTGCACATCTATAATCCCAGGGGCTCAGGAGGAAGGAAGATTACAAGTTCAAAGCCAGCCTTGGCAATTTAGCAAGGCCCTAAGCAACTCAGTGAGAACCTATCTCTAAATAAAATACAGAAAGGGCTGGGATGTGACTCAGTAGTTAAGTACTCCTGGGTTTAACCCAAAAATAAAGAAATAAAAGAAATGCCTTCTAAACATAAGTCATCCCAATCCAGGCAGAAAGAATGAAACAGCCATTACTCTAAATCTCCAAAATACCTATCAGCTCATGACTCTTGATTAACTTCATAATACCTTTATTCCTTCTGCCCATTCTATCATATGGAGGGTAGAGGCTACCAAGAAATGTACCTCTTTTTAATCTTACCTAATATCTAAAAAGTTAACGATTTCATGTTGTAACAGATCATGGTATTAAAATATATTTATATACAATATACTTTTACAGAAACTCATGTAACTAGTAATTACTAAAATTTACTGCCGAAAAGTAGTTGCCTTCTCAGGTAAGCTTATTTCTCCAGGTAGCTCTGTTCTCCTGAGAAACTATGAAAGGCAGTGGAGAGCAAGGTGGGGTTAGAAGAGAGAAAACAGCTCCTGTTGCCTGGCAGGCTGGGTATCCCTACAATCCCAGCTACTCAAGAGCCTGAAGCCGGAGGATCACAAGTTCAGGGCCAGCCTGGGCAGCTTAGCAAGACTCTCCATAAAATGAAAAGTTTAAGGGGCTGGGTTTGTAGCTCAGTGGTAAAGTGCTTGCCTCGCATATGTAGGGCACTGGGTTCAATCCTCAGCACCACATAAAAATAAATAAAGATACTGTGTGTTCATCTACAACTAAATAAATATATTTTTTAGAAGAAAAGTTTAAAAGTGTGGGGGGCGGGGGGAGCAGGGATAAAGCTCAGTGGTAGAGTGCTTGCTTAATATAAAGAGACCTGGGTTCAATTCCTGGTCTCCCACCGCCAAAAAAAAAAAAAAAAAAAAAAAAAAAAAAAAAAGCAGCCCCTGTTGATTGATTGCATGGTGCTAGGTACTGAGCATAACTGTGAGGAGAAGTACCTGGGAATTATGAAATGTGGACCTGCTGATTTGCTTGAGAACCTATCTGAAGATTTGATTTAGAGTTTTTAGATAGGCTATTTTCTTCACCTTCTGATTCTTTTTCCTCGTAGGTACAGAATCTGAAAATAGCACAGCCTTCGTGGAAGGCATCCTGATGGGTGTGCCAGTCCCCTTTCCCATTCCTGAGTCTGATGGTTGTAAGAGTGGAATCAACTGCCCCATCCAAAAAGACAAGACCTATAGCTACATGAATAAACTGCCAGTAAAGACTGAATACCCCTCTGTAAGTGACACTGTTGAGGACTTTGGGGACCTTGGGACAGGATTAGAAACCTGAGGACAGGGGACTAGAAATCAAAGATTGGGGAACAGGGCACCTCATCTCTATGATGAAGAAGCAGGAGACTTAAGGGAGAGGAGAAAGATTTGAATGTTAGAATCATGAAGAAGGGCAGATATTTTTATGTGCCTTTGTTCTTTCACTGGACCTAATGACATCATTTTTACATATAGTATTTTACTTGATATCATGAACAACCTGTGTGGAGGTGATATCAGCTCTGTCTCAGAGACAAAGAAGTCTGAGCCTTTGATGTTATATAGTTAGTGGCTATAAGAATAGCCTAAGTTTAAAGCTGAGTCTTGTAACTCCCAAGCCTGTGCAATGTTAAAACATTTCAATGAGGTACCAGATAGTTCAAGGTCCGAGTTGACTTAGCATTGTCATCAGAAAATCCTGATTTTTCCTTCAATCTCTTAACAAGAGAACAATACAGTTTGTTAGCTCTATAGCAGAGAGGTAACTTATTGCACCCTCTCTTCTTACCTCTACCTATACCTCTGACCCATCCCTGCTTACCTATATTTTCTGCCAAGCACTTCTGAGTAGATGGTGCCGGGGTGAGCCTGTTTAAAGGTATGACTCGTAGCTGGGTGTGGTGGTGCACAATTGTAATCCCAGTGACTTGGGAGGCTGAGGCAAGAGGGATCACAAGTTCAAGGCCAGCCTAGGCAACTTAGCAAGACCCTGTCTCAAAATAAAAAATAACAAGGACTGGAGATGTAGTTCAGTGGTAGAGTGCCCCTGGGTTCAACCCCCAATATATAAAGAGATTCACATATAGGGAATCTATGCTTAAGGGATGTTAGCAACCCTGAAGGTCAGAGACAGGTTTGTAAAATAGCAGAGTAGGCCATGTGATCCTGGGACCTTCCAAACCCCAGTTATGTACAGTGTCTAGTCAGGGCTGCACGCAGGGTAGGTATTTAACATTTGATAGTCACTTGATTTAAGTCACTCTTAAATGAATTACATTTAATTTGAAAATTAGCTCAAACTGCATTAGTCAATACTAAGTAAGTGAAGCAGTAGTTCATGCATATAGTCATAAAAAACTTACAAAGCAAGTTTCCAAAAGCTTTTATCCTTGTCAATCAAATATTGCATGGTGAAGAAACCTTTGAGTACAAAAGAGAGGTAGTAACTAATAACAAGTGAGCTGATGTCTACATAAGAAAGGACCTGCGGGTGTGGGTGAGTTAAGAATTGGAAGAAACAGGGCTGGGAGTGTGGCTCAGGGGTTGAGTACCCTGAGTTCCATCCCTGGCACCAAAATAAAAACTCTTTGGGCCATCTTTTGTGCTTTGACATTTATATTTCTGGTTAACAAGAAAGTTGCCTTATACCTAAGAATCTTTCTGTTCCTTAAGATTACTATTGGAGGGCTGGGGTTGTGGCTCAATGGTAGAGTGCTTACCTAGCACATGTGAGGCACTGGGTTCGATCCTCAGCACCACATAAAAATAAATAAATAAAATAAAGGTATTGTGTCCATCTACAACCAAAAAAAAAAAAAAAAAATTACTATTGGAGAAGGTTAGATTAGACTGCCAAATATTAAATGTAAAATTATTATTCCCAGAAGGCTTTATGTAAATGTCATTGATCTAAGAGGGACAAGAATGCTTTAGAAATTATATTTGATAGATTGACTTTTAGAATGGCTATTGTTAACACCAAATCATAGGCATAACTTGGTTCATTCCTCTAAGTTTAAGCCACAGTTGGTGCCCATTTCCTAAGTGGGCTTCCTAATGGCATGATTTAAGAAGAAAACTATGAGGAATTAGGTGGTTGTTTTTTATAATTTCTATTTAGGCTACATAATTAAGCCACTTATGGATTAAGGTCAAGTCCTCATTTCATTTTTCCCAATTCATTTTCTCTTTTTCCAGATAAAACTGGTAGTAAAGTGGCAACTTGTGGATGACAGACAAAATTCCTTCTTCTGCTGGGAAATCCCAATACAGATCAAAAGCTAGAGCTATTTGATGCTGATTTGTCTATGTGGAGGTGAGAGGGCATGGGTGGAGGGAGGGGAAGAAATCCAACCTGAAACTGCATGAGTGCCATAAGATGAAAGGAAATTCATCATGAAAGGAAATTATGCCTCTCAACTTCCAAAAGCATCTGAGGCCCTGTTTCTTAGAACTGGTACCTTTGTAATATCCTTTGTAAAAAGGTGGAAGGAAAGAAGAGAAAGTGAAGTGAAACTGTAGGGTTTGGTTCAACTGTCTCCATTGTTTTTTGCTATTGGAATAAGGTGGGCCCAACCTGACAGAACAAAGGAAGTTGCTTAGGGCTATCAGATACCTTCCCTAGGGCTACTGGGCTTCCAAACCACTTCTGTCTAACTGGGATGTTACATCTACAGGTTCCTCCTCTATAAGTGCCTCACTGAGTCTGGTGCATCTGAACAAGAAATCTGCTGGCTCTGAACAACACCTCCACCTCCATTGCCTCAACAGTAGTGATCTGTTCTCTACTGATATCCAGAGATTCATAGGAGATGTCATGTTCTACAGCAGAAAGTCAGCTGTGGATAACTGGTTCTCTGATGTCTTTTGTTCTGTCTTAGGTGGTTTTCGTTAAAGGCAACAGTTGGTTACCAGATATTTGATTCTTTTTTTTTTTTTTAACAATATTAACTTGTATCCTCTTTCTGAACCTGGAAATGAACCTTCGTATAAATAAAAACTTGTCAGTCTTGTCTTCTGCATTTGGGCTGTGGTCATGTGCTTCTTACACATAGTGCATTCCCCAGACCTGTGGGAGGTGGGTACCCAGTTCCATGTCCCTGAGAGACTCTCTTTCCTCCTTTTGCCCAGTTAGACCTCATCTATCTTTTGATACAAAGTGACCTTGTTTCACTTTATTTTGCACAATCTTAGACCACAGAGTATGCTTGATAGAAACAGTGAAAGCAAACATCACCTAGTTGAATAATAACACCTGAAAGGGTGAGGCAGGGTGATCTTTTGGGAACCATCCACCATGATGGAGAAAGCCTCAGAGATTACAAATAAAATGTGAAGTTGAAGCAGGTACTGGTCAAATTAGCTAAAGTTTGGAGTTTTCTGCTCTCAAGGTAAAAAGTATAATTATGGGGTGCATAGTTTGCCATTTCAAATCCACATACTGTGAGCTTTTAGGTGGGACCGGGGTTATCACGATATTCATAACTGAGTTGAGTAATGAGCACCTTGGAAAGTCATCCATTGTTTTTTTTTTTTTAAGAGAGAATTTTTAATATTTATTTTTCAGTTTTTTCGGCGGACACAACATCTTTGTTTGTATGTGGTGTAGAGGATTGAACCCGGGCCACACGCATGCCAGGCGAGCACGCTACCGCTTGAGCCACATCCCCAGCCCCAAGTCATCCATTGTTAAATAAAAATAACTCTTTTCTCAGTTGAGTTCTGACAAAATGTTTATGAGCAGATAATTCATTTTGGTCCAGTTCTTATTATGCCCATAAGTTCATAGACCCTTGAATTTCTTTGGCCTGTGAGTTTCCCAGGATAAACCACCAGGGGACAGCAATGGGTCAGGAATGAAGTTATCAACACCCAAGTTTGCTAGTTAATGCTGGCAGCCGTTCAACCACAGTACCATTTAAGCCATCTTTCATATATCCTATCCCACTGAGTCTAGAGGAACAGCCCACCTTGTCTCCCAATGCAGACCCCAAACGTATCAGAATTGTGTGAATCCCAAAGGTGGTTAAGTGCTGTGGTCTCTGGCTTCAAACTGCCTGTGGTTGAATCTGGCTCCACCATTTAATTCATAGGACTGCAAATGAGAGCTTTCAATCCCTTCATCTCTCTGTGTTTCAGTTTCCTTATCTGTTAAGTAGGGATAATGATAGGAGGGGAGGGCTGAGAGGATTAAATGAAATGAGGCATGTGAAACGCTTAGATGACCCATGGCATGTATTATACTTGTTGTCAAAGTTAGCTTTTGTTGTAGGAGACAGACACTGTTCTTTGTCTGGAAATAGCAGGAAAATCAGGAGGTTCAGTCTGATGTGTGTGATGTCTCCTTAGGAGTGAGGCTAGCTTCTGTGCACAGGAACTTCCTCGGGGACTCAGAAAAACTCAGTTTTTATGCATGTTTGCTGACTCCCTATTCCCAGAAGATTCCTCATGCTTTTTAGCTTCTTTGAGGTTAGCAGCTACCTGCCCTCGTGTGTTTTAAAAAAAGGACAAAAGCAGCTCAGCTAGTATAATGCACTCTTCCCTGAGAAGGGGAACCCAACAGCTGGGTCTATTTACCCATCAGCCATCAGGAGGCTCTGCAGATCCTGCAACTGTGGGTTAGGTTGGCTCCTGTGGGGGGATTAGTTTGAAAGGTCTCCTACAACAGAAAGTTCACAGTGGTTAACACTGGGAAGCACTGAATCTTAAGTATACAAAGAAAAAATGAGAAGCACCTCTGCTTATAGAATAAAGGGAACACACAATGTAACACCTCAGATCCCCAGTTTGGGAGAAGGTCAAATGTGTGTGCTGGTATCTAGCCCAATCTTCATGCTAGTAAAAGCAACAAGCATGGAATCATTTCAAATGCTGCATACTTGGTTTTGAAATGGCAGTTGATTTTTCTTTTGTCCTTTCCTTTTTTTTTTTTTTTTTAAGAAACAGTCTTATGATTATGCTTTGCAAAGGTGATAAAACAGACTGGTCTCAAAAAACACCCGCAGGCATAGGAAAGGTGACCTGAAATAGTTCCACTTAAAATGATGTTGGATTAACCATTCACTGCAGATAATCCAAAAAGCAAAGAATGCTTCAAGGACTAGGTTGGTATGAGGACAGTCATGGCACATAGAAGAGTGCTGGCACGGGGAGTTGGGTGTACAAAAGTCATCAAGGTGAGAGTCACATTCATTTACCAAGGGCCTTCTCAGAAGCAGACAACCAGGAATAGAAGTCAGGGTGTGCCTTACTCAAAGGCCTGGGATACTCAGTTGAGTTGTTTGCTGGGAATGTTGACTGGAGGACAGTGTTGTGTGACCCAAGGTAGAAAGTGGCTCTGGATCTCCACCCATGTTGCCTAAAAGTCTTTAGAGGAGTTGGGCCATTTTAGGTGGCTATCTTTTTCTCTGGAGAGAATATCCTGGCCTGTCTTTCAGTTTCTAAACTGAATCCGATTCACTTATAGCTGTCAATTGACTAGCAACTAAATGGTCTGGGTGTTGGTTTCCATGGAAACAGCTAAAAGGCCCATTGCTATGGGAACCTACCATGTTCTCCAGATCAGGGGTTTGGTTGCTAGAAAAGGGTAGTGGGAGGAGGGAGTCCAGGAACTGGGTTGCATAGGTGGCTTAAGGATCCCAGAAGAGGGTGAGCAATGTGTGTGAGCAGGTCTGGCAACCTCCTAGAGTGTCCTCTTCTACTTTCTGCAGGCCTTCCCGGTCTGTCCTCTGCTCATTGCCCTGTGGCAACCACCGAGCACAGATGCTTGTTGTTCCAAATGGACAGTAAGAGCATGCGATTCTGGAGCAGATTTGGCATATTGATGCTGTCACCCTCATCTGCAGGGGCTCTGAGAGGGAAAGTCCTGGCTCCTTCTGTCAGTCCCCTCTCCACAAATCATGTGTCCCAGATAAGCAGCCAGCAGGTGAAAGGATTAGCTTAGCTCTGACTGCCAGCGGGTCAGACCAATAACTTGGCAGACCAAACGGATGGCTGCTGGCCTTGAACATGGCAGACACTGGGTGTACCGGATCCAAAAGCAGAAGGACAGGTCAGCAGCAGCAGTCTCTGTTCTCTGCATTAGAGAAATGCATTATTTTGCTCTCTACACCCCTACCTAACCTCATGCTCACCCACCAAAGGGAGCCCTGCAGACAGATTCAAATATAAAAAGTGAGGCTTGATGGAGATTCTCAAAGTACCTGCACAATGGTCGGAAGATTCTTTTTGTGTTTTAAGGGAAATAACTCTTAAGCCAGTGTTCAGTGGCAAGATGTTTCTTTCCTGAAACAAAGAGAAAACATCCTCGAAGCTCTGCCATTAACCATTGTAAATGTGTAAAGTATAGATTGAAGGGACTGGCCTGTGTCATCTCCAGGGCCTCTGTCAGGATTAACAGCTTATGATCACTGAAGGGAAGCTTGAGCACCACAGGCAGGTGGACACAGACTCATCTCTTTTTAGTCCCCATACCTGTGAGGGTGAGGACAATCCCTGGAGTCCAGATGGGCTCAGGACCAAGGCTAAGGCCAAAACATTTGATTTAGAGATCATCTCAGATATGGTCTGGGTGTTGGTTTCCAAGGAGCTTTCCCCTGAGTCTCCAGAGCTCTAAGATCAGTGGTGTTTCCTCTCCCAGTCTTGCCTGCTCCTGCCTGGAATTTTTGTTTGTTTTGTTTTTTATTTTTGTTTTGTTTGGTCCTGGGGGTTGAACCCAGAGGTACTCTACCACTGGGCTACATTGCCAGCCCTTACTATTTTTTTTTTTTTTTTTGAGATGGAATCTTGCTAAATGGCCCAGTTTGGCTTCAAATTTTCAATCCTCCTGCTTCAGCCACCCAGTAGTTGGGATAACAGGTGTGTGCCACCATGCTCTGCTGGAGTTTATTGATCTTGGCCCCTCCCAAGGAGTTGTAGAGCCTAGGAACCCGACACCAGAGAGAGAAGCCACCAGGATTTGGACTGCGCCACAGGACAGTGTGTAGTGGCAAGATGCTTCTTTCCTGAAACAAACAGAAAACATCCTAGAATCTTTGGGGAGGGTTTTTCACTTTGGAAGACAGCTGTTAATTATAGATTTTAGTTGGGTTTGCATCTCATCTCTAACTTTCTCTGGCTGCTTGACTTTGGGGTAAGTTTATTAACCTCTTAAGGGCCCAATTTCCTCAGCTATAAAACAAAATGATAAGAATACCCACCTCTAGTGATAACATGAAGTGATAAGTACCCGAGAAAGGTCATTAGTATTATTATTATCATTGTCCTAGATAAGGAAGGAAGGTTGCAGCCATGGAAACTGCTGTGGCCTAGAATCATAGGCATTTGTCATGCATTAGTCTTCCAAATTTAATTCCAGGCACCTTTCAAGATAGATGGCCTCCCCAGTGCCCCACTCTGCTTTGCCTTCATTAAGCCAGAGTCTAATCCTCTCTTTATGACACTTAACCACATTCTTTTTCATGTCCAATTTTTGTGTGTCAGCTTACCTTCCGACTAGACTGTAAACATCTTGAGAATAGAGACTGCCCTTTCATCTTCAAGTAAATGCCTAGAACTTAGACTCAGCAATTATTTAATGAATTTTTTTAGTAGAGAAAAAAAATGCTCTTTTTATTTAGGTTTCAAATCTGACCGTTTAACCCTCTAGCAGCCTTGTTTCCAAAGGGAAGGAAAGTAGCGGTAAACTTGGTGTCATTCCTCTGAAAAATAGCACTGGAGTGCCCTATCCTGGATTAGCTCTGGAGAAGACAGGCTCACATCTCCTAGAAGCCAGCTGTCATCTGTGACTAGGACTCACTGACAAGGCTACCTTGTCTCCAGCCTGAGGTTTCCTGGCCTCCCCTCGATTGCTGCTCTCTGGGTCACAGTGATGACTCTTAGCCGCAAATTGTATCAGATTGCCTCTGGGAAGAGGAAGCAGATCTGGTTTACGCAACTCTCTCCCCTTGGGTACACTGGATGTCTGCAGCCCTGGAGCCCCTCAGCTCCCCATCAGAACTTGCCAATGTGTGGCTCAGCAAGA